TATCTCTCAGATTCCGCTTAGATTCCACTCAGTAGTTCTTTTTCAAGCATCAGCATCTGCGGCACTCTCAAGCGCTCTTGGAGCTCAAGTGAGTTGGATGCGGCAGCTGTGCACAGTGTTCTCCTGAAGAGGTGCTAGAACCTTTCCTTGAGGAGCAAGAAAGCAGGGGCAATTTTGCTGGTCCAGCTTGTAGGGAACGCCAAAAGCGCTGAGACACCTCTTGTGAGGCTATTCGACCCCCCGTGTGGTCGTTGATGTGGCTGAGTGGTCGCCATGTTTCCATTACTGTCAAGCGATGAGTTTTTTAGTCGTCCTCGTGGCTCAGTTGGTATCACGGCATTCTTGACGTCGCTGACAGACTGCCGGGGGTGGTTCGATTCCCCGCTGGTCCGCGAGTAAGACTCAAGACCGTAGACCCGCCGAAAGGCAACGGGCTTGGACAAAAAAAAGGCATGTTTCCACTAGTTTTTTGGATCCTGTTTTGGGAGCCATGATAAAGCAGGTTTGTTGGCATTGTGTGTTTTTCCTGTTGGTTTGATGATTTGCCGTGATAGTATCAAAGTGAGGTCTTTGTTCAATCGCTTATCAATGTTAGGGACCGAGTCTCAGAGCGAAATCGGCCGCAACAGAGAAAAAAAACAACGGGTCCACTTTCTGACCCTTTTTTAAAGACGTTTCTTTGCAGGGGGTCCACAACTGGACCCTCAACAAGTTTGAATCCGGTGGCTAGTTGGAGGTCCGGTTTTGAGCCCACCCAAGCACCTTCTTCAGCTGCGCGGTCCGCATCTTCGTCACACAAACCAGATTTGCCACAATGAAGGACCTAAAATTCAGCGAGGCAGCACAGTCACCAACTATTTCAAGTTCAGTCTTGCTGGAACTTCAACAAGCACTGCCCCGAGTCTCGCTTGGTCCTTGTGGCAATACGTTTTGCGTTCGAGGCGTAGCTTCGGCCCTTCCAGACCAAGGAAGCCTTGACCTCAAAGTTCTCAATGGACAGCAAAGACTTTTGTGGGAGCAATCGACGGCTCAAAGAAAATGTCTTTGCAAAACGGTTGGATCATTTCCGGCACAATCGCCCCGCTATGCCCATCACAGCCATAAGCAGACGAAAACAGACTTTTGTTGGCCAAGTCCATCTGGGAATTCTGCTTCGAATCTGGCAGCGACTTGCTGGTTTGAGACTCTGAATTTTGTTTTCCCATCAGCAGTTTGGTGTCGAGCTACAAAAATTTGAACTTCCCTCAATACTTCTGGTCTTGGCCTTGTGCAAAACTTAGTTGTTAGGTGTTTCGTAGTTGTCGTTTGTGGACTTTGGAAGTCTGGACTTTGTTTGCTGTTTTTAGGTTTCTGCACGTGAACGTTTTGCATGAAACCAATCTGAGCGTTTTTAGGAACCGAGAAACTTGTTTGACACGTTTCTAGATTGGTAGAATGGTTTTTTGCACGACTAGATTTGTAGAATTTTTCGGAATTTCAGGCGATCTCGTCGCGTAGTGGTATAATGCCCGTCTCAGGACCGTGCATAGACAGCTAGCCGCGGATCGATTCCCCCCGGGTACGGGGCGCGATCGTGACGTGGTAGACGAGTAAGTCTCAAGTACCGTAGACCCGCCGAAAGGCAACGGGCTCGGGCCAAAAAAAAATGAAGAATTTTTCGGAATTTCCTGAACTGGATTGGAATCCAGAAACTCACTTAGTTCCTGTGCTCTTCTCTGAACTGTTCTGTCAACGCGAACGTTGGCTCAAGCCTGCGTGAGCGAAAGTGTGTGATTGTGTCACCATGAGATGGCCTGGGAGAGTCTGAGACTGCAGAAACACGAAACTCTCACTGTTTGTTTTGTCTTGGTCTGGGTTTACTTTGCGCACGAGAGGTTTGAAAGCGGTTTTGCGCGATCTAACTTTGTGTGTCACAATTTTACGCCTTTTGATGCTTTTGTTTGGTTGTGTCTTTCGCTGTGTTTTCTGTTTGTGGTTGGTTTGTTAAAATTGGTTTATGTATCTAGCCTTTGTATATAATCTAATGTACCTAATAAATTTAACCACTTGATGTTCCAGCGATCGAGCTAGCTATCTATTGAGCTATCTGTTCAACAATAATACGATAAAAAGGGCGGCGGTCTGTGCCTGACGTTGCTTTCTTAATCAACAAGAACCTACCTCCAAATGGCTGCCTTCAGGCTTCCAAAACGTTGGCTTCGCCACAGCGAAACACCATGTCACGGAGGGACGGACCAGGCCTTGGGGCGGTGGCGGCGGCCTGTGCTTAACTAGCTCCAAATTACAGCCTTCAGGCCTCCAAAACGTTGGCTTCGCCACAGCGCATGCCACGAAGGGCAGACCAGGCCTTCCGCCGGCGGTGGCCTTTGCCTACCGTTGCGGTTCAAATCGGAGATGGGGCGAATTATATCCCAACCTTGGCAGGTGGTAGATTGATTTGACGGTGCCAAAACAAAAATCCCCAATCGCTCACTTTGTCCTCAACTTGAACGAGATCACATAGCAGCAACCTGCAGCAACCACTCAATCTAATCTAATCTGACCTAACCTAATCTAATCTAACCTAACCTAATCTAATCTAACCTAGCCTAACCTAACCTAATCTAATCTAATCTAATCCTATATATATATCTATCTATCTATCTATCTATCTAAATATTCATCTACTAATCTACTAATCTATCTATCTACCTATCTATCTATCTATCTATCTCCCTGATCTATCTTATCTATCTTATCTTTCTTACCTATCTAATCTATTTAATCTATTTAATCTATCTAATCTATATAACCTATCTAAGCTATCTAATCTATCCCATCCATCTATCTATCTACCTATCTACCTATCAACCTATCTATCTATCTATCAATCTATCAATCTATCAATCTATCAATCTATCAACCTATCAATCTATCAATCTATCTATCTATCAATCTATCAATCTATCAATCGATCATTCAACCAATCTATCTATCTATCTATCTAGCTATCTAGCTATCTAGCTATCTAGCTATCTAGCTATCTAGCCATCTATCTAATCTATCCAATCTATCTAATCCATCTAGTCTACCTAACCTATCTAATCTATCTATCTTATCTATCTATCTATCTATCTACCTATCGATCTATCGTTTGATCCATCTATCTATCTGAGTCGATCTATCTATCTATCGATCGGTCTATCTATCTATCTATCTATTTATCTATCTATTTATCTATCCATCTATCTTTCCATCTATCTATCTATCTATCTATCTGTCTTTTGCTCTACTTATTTTTTCTTTCCTACCAATTTACTTTTCTATCTATTCTGTTTATTTCGTTTTTATCTACTCAATCAATCTATGTATCGATCAATCTGTTCATCACCTGTTTATCTATCAGTCGATCTGTCTATCTGTGTATCCATCTATCGATCTATCCATCGATCGATCTATCTATCTATGTCTGTATCTATCTATCCACCTATCTATCTATCTATCTTTCTATCTATCTATCGATTTATCTATCTATCTATCTATCTATTGCCGTACTTTTTTTTCTAGTCTATCTATTCTTTCTATTTTATCTATTCTATCTATTCGATCTATTCTATCTATTCTATTCATTCTATCTATTCTATCTATTCTATTTATTCTATCTAATCTATTTATTCTATCTATTCTATCTTTTCTATCTATTCATCTATTCAATCAGTCTATCTATCGATCGATCTGTCTATCATTTCTTTAGCATTTGTTTATTATCTGTCTAACTATGGATCGATCTGTCTATCATTTGTCTATCTGTCTATCCTTCTATCTATCTATCTATCTATCTATCTATTTTTTTATCTATCTATCTATCTATTTATCTATCTATCTATCTATCTAGCTATCTATCTATCTATCTATCTATCTGTCTATCCCTCTTTTTTTCATCTACCAATCTACCTTTTGATCTGCCGGTCTTCTGACCTAGCTGTTTTACTCGTTCAGTGTTCTGTCCGGTCATCGTCCACTTCGATCATGCCAATTCATGACCTTCTCCGCCTAACAATCGGGAGGCTTAACATGTGGGGTTATCTGGTCCTTTAATTTCTGTGCCTGCGCATTGGGTGAATACAATGATTTTGCAAACCTCAGTTTCAACGTTTCATTTTTTCAACCATTGTGACGCTTAGTGTAAACCGAATTGAAGGTACAGTATTTATTGTGCTGTACAATATTTGAGATACAAAAAGTCAAGAAGGTTTGTCAAAAAGGACCAGCGCAGATCTTTGTTTTTTTCAATGAGGGGCATCGTTTAAATTTTCCATTCTGAGTAGTTTTGCAATGATTACGAAAACTCTTGCTGAGGGCGACTTGACCTCAACCCATGCAGAACCTGGAAGGCCAACAAACCGTTTGTACCGGAACATGGTCTTGGAGCCTGGCATGTTTTCCGCCATCCTTGAATGTTATCAACGTATTGAACCAAGGCAAAGGCGTAAAAGGTGTGCACCAAAACCGTAAACCCCCACCAATGGTAACCAAGGCAAAATTTCACCAATATTTTCCGTCAACTTTGGGATGTCGTGGTAAAAAATGTGGTGTACGTATATGTGCATTCAGATATATGCATTTGGAAACTGCATTCATCGAACCCATGTTTGCCTGTATGTGTGTGTGTCCGTGCGGCATGCGGGTTCGGGCGCATGTGGACCTCAAACAAAATAACAAAACATGCAGGAAACAGTATTTCAATCAAGACACGCATGACAATGTTGGCATGGTCATGTGGACCCTACATCAAATGCCAAAATGTGTCATGCAATTTTTCAATTTTTCATACCAATCATTTGCGTTTGCTTTGGGCCTGATACAAAACTGTTAAACCACTATATTCAAATGAAAGTGTTGTGGCACAACATCATGCAACAAATTTCAATACATGGTTGGCACCCAAATTTTGTTCATTTTCTTTTGCAATGCAGCATGGACAACGGCGAGCGATCTTTGATGTTGCCATGATGTGAATTATGTATCCTCAGAGGCCAGGAATTCGAGGAGTAACCCCGGGTGTGCCGGGAGGGTTCCCTGGCGCTCGTGGCCTTGCTGGCCCTGGTGGCCCTGGCGGTCCTACTGGTCCTGTGCCTGGTGGACCACGGCCCAATTTTGGGCACCCAGGCTTTGAGCAGGTGCCTCCCAGACCAAGTGGCCCTGGTGGACCTGGTGGACCTGGTGGTTTTTATCCACATGGAATTCCCGGACACATGGCACCTATGCCAGTTGCAGGTTCCCAGGGATTTGGGCCGATGTCCGGTCTGACCCCACAAGGACCACGCAGCCCTGCCCCAGTTCCAGTTGGGCCACGAGGAGTTCCATCACATTGGGGGTTTGGAACGCCAAGTGGGAAAGATCCTTTACTTTCCCAGCCACCAGAGCAGCAAACTGAAAGACCTGAAACAGCACCAACAAATGATGATGTTGACATTGACGAGGACGATGCGGACAGCCATCATGATCACCATGAGCTATGGATGGTGAAGGCAATTGAGGCAAATCCTTGGAGATCTTTCGTCGTGACCAATTAATTTTTGGTATAATTTACCACGTTCTTTTTTTATGGTTTATATTCCGTTTGTTTTATTGGTTTTGTTTTCTGTTTCAAAGCATCCATCACAACGTGTCAGCTGCAGATCTGAGGATTGTTATTTGGCGGTTTTGGCTGTTTGCTGAGTTGTTTCCTTCTGATTGCAATCCTGCTCTTGATGGACGTGCGGATTTTGGATCCCCGTCCGAACGACATCGTTCCTGTAATTCTTCGGGAGCTTTGGCTGAAATCGTGAACTGATATTGGATATATTGGCATTTGATGGCACTTGCATCCAACTTCTGGAAGAATTGGTCAAAAATGTCGGGTCCAGATGTCCAGATTCCAGACTACATTCATGTGAACTTCGGTGTTTTCAGCTTCACTGTAGCTTCACTGGAAAATCCTTTGATTTTGTGTTTCAAATCTCATACTATGTTTGTACCTTCCAGATTTGAGGAACATATTGCCAAGAAGAGGCACGTCAAACCGGAATCACTCCTTGGAGGGACACGGATTCTAAACATGGAGTGATACACTCAGTACACTCTAGCTAGTTCTGTTAATGATTGAAGGGTACGTTCACGTTATGTTGCGAGGGAACGGATTCATGCAGTTGCCTGCACAATTCATTCATTATTTCGAACTACTCAGGACAAGGGTTAGAGTTGGGATGAATGATGTTGCAGCATCTCAGTAATATCAATTAGACGTTTGTGACTTTATATATACAGTGCACGTTGATGCCAGGAACATATACAATTGGAACAGGGTTTGAAGGAATTCGTTTATTCAGGTGTCATATGATACTGTACTATTTTGCACGTCCTGGTCGACCCTGGATGTTGTTCGCTAGGCAAGATGCTGGACGAAGCATAAAGGAGGTGGCACTAGCATGTCCTGGTTGTGAACATCTTGAAGAGCGTTTCATGGTGCATTTAGGTGCAATTTCTTCTTCTGCTTCCTCCGGACGCAGATGTTTGCAGTTTAGTTGACCTTCATTGGACTGGTGCCCCACTGCCTTTGCCTTCAGAGAGTGTGAGGTTCTGAGCGAATGTTCTACTTGCACATCATTTATGATCCTTGGCTCATCCTTGGCTCAATCCTACCAATGAACCGTGTCAGACTTTTCACTACCAGCCCGCTCTGCTTCTACTTTTTTATGCACTTTTGATGCGTGTAGGATGTGCAAGTTGCGTTTGCGTTGACATGAACGGTGAATGCCTGGATGCCGATTGCTGCCCAAGGAAGTGGAACGTGAAAGTGGAACCTTGTGGGAGACCGACATCTTGCGAAGTGCCTCGGTAGGAATCTGCATCAGAATTTGTCACAAACTGCAGTTGTTTTTTTTGCCACTTTCATACTCACTTTAAGTCACTCTCATAGTTTTGCCTTTGGACGGGTGAGCATTGTCACAAAAAAGTGCGGCATGTGGTCATGGTTCAAGGAATTCACGACATCGAGAGAAAAATCTTTGAAGCCAGGGGGCTTGGCCCTGATGGCAAGGTGCAAGACATTTTGTCATATACTGAGACTTACTGAGATGTACTGATTTTTAGTTTCTTAGTTTGCTTCGAGACATTGCCATTATACCTCCGCAGTTTTGTTGGCGGTTTGCCTGATTGTTGTGTGCATCTGCGACTGCATGTTTTATTCTTGGGATAGGGTCTGTAATAACATCAAACAGTGACTCTGATCTTGCATTCAGAAGAGCTAGTTTGATGTCTGAAGAGTTTTTTGCTCCTCACTTTTCAAGACGCACAGCTTTGCAGGAGTGGGCGTTTACGGTCACGAAGCTGCATTGACTCAGCATCTGTTTGTCGTGGGCAGCCTTTTGATCAGCAGGTTGCGGCGAGGAATCGACGGCCATTCTTGCCATTGAGGACATGTGCTTGCTCGTCAAACCAGATGAGCAGCTCAAGATTCTGGGAAGAGATGGGGCCTGAGCATAGTTCGTGTAGACACAGCGACCAGTTACCAGCGACAAATTCCAAAATTCAGAAAGGCACATTTTGCAAAGTTGCAACTTCAGGGAAATTCACCCCCAGCAAGGCATTTTCGGACGAGCCTCGCTGTGCCTTTGCATTGAGCCCACTTCTTTTCCTTGCGGATACGATGTGCCTCAGCGTGAAAGGAATGTGAAACTACTGGAATTGAATGTTTCTCATCGTTTCTCTGTTTTGTTGTGAAAAAAAGATGTGCATGTTTTGGACGTACAAGAGTTCATGTTCATCTACCTGAACTTTCACTCGTAAAGAATCTGCGACAGAGCTAACAAATTTGCCTGCAAAGGCTACCTCTAGCAGACCCACCGCCTTTCAAGATGCAAAGCTCCTGGGCATTCAGTCTAATACTTCCACACTTGAACATCTTTGAACCAACATCACTGCAGGATGTTTCGTGTTTTCTACACGCCTTCGTTTTGAAGCCAGCATCGGTTTTATCTGACAAAGGTACTGTGAGGAAAGGCTATGTTTGGATCAATGAGACGCACCACGCTTGGATGCTCTGATTCAGCCAGCTCCGCCTGAACAGAGTTACAGTTACACGAAATTTACCCTAAAATGGTAAAATGGGAAATGATTCAAATTAATTCAAATGATGGGAAGGGAGATGAATCTGAGATGAAGGGAGTCCACTCTGAATAGTCCACTCTGAATGAAAGGTAGCTGAAGTAGCAGTCTTGCAAGATTTGCTCATCCTTCTCTATTTACAGAGCTTTCTCCTTTCAGTGACTGGATGTTGTCCCATTCTTCTCGTTTCTGTGTGTATTTTAGTGGCTTCTAAGCTGATATCACATCGCCATCCTGCAGGACCGACTGGAGATCTGTGAGTGTTGCTGCATAGTGTTTATTGTGGGTTGCTTATTGATTATTTTTTGTTTATTTATTGTTTGTTTTTGGTTTTGCTGCTTGCTGCTTGCTTTTCTGCATTTTTCTGCCAATCAGTCGTGTACTTTTTTCGCCTTAAGAGCACCGGCTACTTGCATGGCAGTTGTTTGCTCTAAGTATTTATTTGCTCGCACACTCGCACACTGTTTGGTTTTACCCGTTTTGTAATGTATTGGCACAACTCGTAGATTGAGATGTCAGAACCCCCTGCCAAGCCGCCTCCAAAGTTGTCGATGATCCAGTTCTGCAAAGCTTTGATGAGAAACATGAGCAGTAAGCAAGCTGCTGCTGCCGTTTATTTCAAAGTATGCCTGCAAAAAAACCTGGCTGAAGTGACATGACAGATATATATATATATAATTGATATAATAAATGACATACAGCCTGGTATATTGACAATGTTGAACACAAGGACAGATGCAGTGTCTCGATGTGCCGTGCCGCCCGAAGATGCGCAGAAGGCAAGGAAGACTGAGGGAAACTAACAGGGACCACAGGAGGCACAAGCTAAAAGAAATGCTGTGTATCGTGTTGAGTGTCCATGATCCATGATACAGAGTTTTCATGAGTTTTACATATCTCTATGGGACTAGTCACATCTAGTCACCAAGGAAAGACTCAGAGCAGATTCAAAGTACTCTCTCTGAGTTCTGTGATGCGAGCCATGAGTCCCCCAAGAGTTCATGATTCGGTATGCAAGTTTCTACAGATTTCTAGAGTATACTTTTTCTTCGTAGAAGTCGTGCACACTGCGCTTACCATGTCGGAAATCGGACTTCACAGCTTTGTGCATCTACATTTCCTGTCTTGGCCATCAAACTTTATATGGTGCATGCTGAAGGAGAGCCTCAGCAGTGTCAGTGGATCGTGGTTGATGAAGAGAGTGTCCAGGCGTAAACAGCAAGCACTGCGGGGCATCACTTCAGGTGCTTGACACAAAAGTGCATCATTAGCAAGTCTGTGTAGCTCTCACCATGCTTAGTGTGAATATGCCGATTACCACTGAATCTGAACAAATGTAGGAGAAGTTCGGAGAAATTGAGCAGGTAGTGAAGATCGTTGTGAGACCATGACATGGGTTTGTCTGAAAATAAGATATCCCAGACTCCAGTGGTTTATTACGAAAGCCAGCCGGACACGCTGGCTAGTTGTTTTTTTGCGAACGTAGTGAGAGATTAGGGGTTTGGGGGGAGGTGTTGCCAAACAGGTCCGTTTTTCCAGTCTCAGTTGGTGTTCAGGGTGCCAACTGGGAGTGTTTTGCGGGGTATTGTACCAGGTCGCAAATGGGTGACGGTAGGTATCGATTCCGCCCTGTTCCGTGATATTGGGGTTAAACAGGTAGACAAATACTAGGGCTAAATAAGCAGACAAATAGATCAATACATAGGCCGATAATAGATGGATGGAGAGTAGACCGAGAGAGGGAATTTATCGATAGCTGGATGACAGCTAGATGGAGAGAGGGATAGAGAGATAGAGAGATAGATGGATGGATGGATGGATGGATCGATGGATGGATAGATAGAGATAGATAGATAGATAGATCGATAGATCGATAGATCGATAGATCGATAGATCGATAGATCGATAGATCGATAGATCGATAGATCGATAGATCGATAGATCGATAGATCGATAGATCGATAGATCGATAGATAGATAGATAGATAGATAGAGAGAGAGATAGAGAGAGAGATAGATAGATAGATAGATAGATAGATAGATAGATAGATAGATAGATAGATAGAACGATAGAACGATAGAACAATCGCGACGGCTGGCTGGCTGGATGACATGGGTGGATGGATGGATGGATGGACGGATGGACGGATAGATCGCACATAGTTACAAAGATGCAGAGATGGGGGCACGGAGAAAGAGAGAGAGAGAGAGAGAGAGTGAGAGAGAGAGAGAGAAAGAGAGAGAGAGAGAAAATTAGGCCGATACATGGATGGATTGACGGAAGGCTGGACGGATAGGTTCATAGATAGCTAGATAGATAGAGGTCATGGAAACTTTGTTGCAAGCTGTAATGACAAGCTGACATAGAGCTATGCCGTTCTTCCTGCTTGGGAGACTGTGTCTTGCGCTGGAAGTTGGTAGTTATGCTTGCAGATTTTGAATCAGAAAGGGCCGCAGAGTGGGCAGGCTGCGCTTCTAGAGACAGCGGCAAATGCAAAGTGGTGTGCTGAAAGTGGACCGTCACGACAGCTCTCTTTGGCTACCAGCGGATGACAGCTAGAGAGCTAGATGTGAGATGGAGACATGGACAAGTGGATAAAGGCGTCCGCATATGGTGAGAACAAGTAACATGACAGATGTAATGCTAAGGAGAAGCGGCAGGATCAAAGCCGGCCTTGAAGAACGCATGCTTAACCGTTTTTATTTTTTTGGCAAGAAAAAAGTTGCAGATGCAGTGATAAGCAGATGCTGCAGTCTAACAGAATTGTAACAGAGCAGGACCTTTCCTTTTGGCTTTTGGCATCTCTGCTGTTGAATAGTTTCCATGTCACATGCGATATCTTTTGCATACCGTGGACCGTCGCGTCATCAGTTTCTGATGATACACGTTGATACAACAACTGGGATCATGCGGGATCGTGGAAAAGTAAATGGGCCGTGGCAGATACTTTTGCGAAGTACAGAACGCTATCATCGTGCGGCGTACCAATGGAGCCAAGAACCAAATCTAGAGAGTCTGCATGTTTAGATCACGGTCATGTTAAGCCGTGTTAGGCCTATGTGGTACCTATGTCAGGCTTATGTTGGTCCATGTTGGGCTCTTAGACGCCATGTTGGGGCCATATTCGTGCCATGTTGAGCTTATGTTAAGCCAAGAACGTGTTCCTTTTAAGCTTTTACCCGGCCCAAAAGGAACACGCCGTTTTCGGATCATGTCGCGACCATGCAGGGGTTTTCAATATCAGAGCTGGCTTCTCGTGTCTTCATTCTCTCTATATGGTGATTTGGGGGATTTTGGGGTATATATTTTCAGACAAAGCCATATTCAGTCACCCAAGTTTGGACGAGAGAAGCACAATTAAGGCAAAACAAAGAAGCTATGTAGTTCAAAAATGCAAAATACAAGCCACTATCATCCACTATCTATTGCTTTCTGACATTTTAGGCACAGTACAAGAGAGTTGTAGTCTATTCTTTTTGTTGTTTATTTGCACGAAAACTAGCTTCTGCTAGCTGAAGTCCCTCTTGCTTTAGCAAGATATTGGGGGGGGGCCTGGAATCTACAATTGCGAGAAACTTCTCAGTTAACTACCCCCCCTGGCTGGTTCACAAGCAGCATCGGCATCCTCTGCATGATTTGCATCGTATGCCTCATTTCTCTTCAAATCATTGATGCAGCGGCGCTCTTGATTGGCATGTTCATTCATGGGTAGCCTTCATCTTAGCCTAGCTTCATTTTCATGTTGCGCACGCACACCTACCTCTCATCCTCAACTTCGGTTTTGCACTGCGTTACTTCTTCCTGCGCTTGCAAAGGTCCACTCCGCTGCCGAAGGTGGACCTTTGAATCTTCCCCAATCTCTGGTCATCATGTTGGATATGCTGAATTTCTTCATCCTCTTCGTGCAACAGTACATAATAATCATATGTTCTCATCCTCGTCCCCTCCAACATACATCGCCTCAATACGTAGGTCTGGATGTTCACCTTGCCAGCATGTCCCAGCTTCAGACCCGCTCGTCCACGTTGACGAAAAAGGCGCGCAACTGCGCTGCTCCCTTTGTTTTTTCAGAACAAGCTCCTTGCCAAGCTAGCTTTCGCCCTTTACCCCTGGGCCTGAAGTCCATTTCAGGCATTGCTTGAAAAGAACAAATGCCAGTAAACTTGCGTTTCAGATCAAAACGCCAAAGGAAAACCCTCAACCAACGCTTATACTTAAGGCCAGGTATCACTTCAAGGCGCATCATTTATCGTGTTCTTAGCCCGTATACCGAACGAGGGTTTGGGGTTCTTCATTGGCATTGGGGGTTGAGGTGTGTCATGTGGAAAATTGAGTTCCATGCTTGTTGGACAAACATGCTGGCTTGCTCAACTTCTTAAGTATTTTTCCACAGACTAGAATTGCATGAATCCGCAGACTGTCCTCGGAGTTCATTAATTTGCTGATGCTAAATTCTGGTGCTTAAGTCGGCTGGATAGACTTTATACATATAAACGCGGTTCTGCTTCCCTACATGCCCGATCCAATACCAAGAGGCTTATGTGTGCGGGCGTTTCAGACTTCAGCACGCAAAAATTCTGAGGTAATTGCAAACCAACAACCGCATTTCCAAAGGAATCAGTACTGTTCATACTGTTTCCCATGTACCAAGGCCATTTCGTACTACGACAAGAACAAACTCGGTCTGGATCCGAAGGAATCAATCGTAGAGAGCTGGTGTGCTTCTTCACCCACTTCGCTTCCCCAGGCACAGTGTTTCCTGCGGAAAGGGAAGTAATGTGATGATGCTGGTTTCCGGTATGTGATGACACACAGAAGTAATGAAAAGTAGATAGTGCTGCTAATAGCTGAGATAGCCTTGACATAGCCTTGTCAAATTGACATTTTGATACCACACATGCCTTTAGCAACCTTTTAAAACAAAAGTTTTTTTCGTAAAACCGGAGTTATGATCATTGGTCACCCAGAAACTTCCCCGGAGCAACTTTGCGTCCAGAAACATGTGCTGTCCTTTCGACGTGGCCATGATACAAGATGATAAAAACTTCGAACACCAGTTTCTACTTCTTCTGCACGAGCCCGACACTTTGCATACCTCTGCGCCCCCTTTCCGCTCTCCTTTTCAATATCCAATTGAAAGTGAACAACCTCCTTTGTGTGTACAGTCTTTGGGAGATACCCTGTGCATTCATACAGTTGCCAGGGAATATCCAATTGTGGATGCTTGGCTCTTGTCTACAACGACGTGACTCGGCTTTGAGGACTGCAATAGCTGCAATAGCTTGCATGCCCAACTGCCCAACTTTGCATTTGTGACTTGAGGTGCAGTTGTCTCTGAATTGGGACATCAGTCTAAAGCAGATGTGGGACTTTGAGTATGGCTTTAAGAAGCTCTTGAGACCCGAGGCAGGAGCTGTCATGAGGCTTCACCGCAGACCGATTGTCTTTTTCAATGTTGAAAGTAAAAAAGGAAATTGCAAGTTACAGCCGAAAATTTGCAATGGGTTCACTCATCAGATCACTGCCCCAACCTGCTCGCTAGCAGCGCTAGCAAAGTGACTCACGTCACAGAGTGAACACCGAAAGTCCAAAATTTACAGCGTTTTCACACAAGAAAAGTATCAAAGTAGAAGTGTGTCAGAAGCAACTGCAAAAAATGCTGTGTCACATCTACATTTGCAACATTGCATTTTCTACATCCAGAACATCCATCAACATCCAGGGGCTTTTGCGCCCAAAGGCGACCTTAATCTGTGCTGCAATGCTCTGACTCTGACTATGACATACTATGACTATGCTCAGATCTGTGAGACACAAAGTGACAGAGTGCCTTTAAACAGTGCCTCTAAGGACATGTAAAGACATGTAAAGACATGTAAAGACATGTAAAGACTCTTAGTCACGGACACTCACCTGGGTCCCCACGGCCGGCACCGACGAAGCCTGCCACACAAGCACCCGTTTGCACATCCAATGAATCCAACAAACAACTTCAAGCAACCACTCCATCGATCAATGAGGCCACCAGTCAAAGAGTGATGAAGCAAAAACGTGACCGGAAAGCTCCAGGGCTAGTGACAACACGTGGCAACATGTGGCAACATGGCAACTTCTAGAACAAACTTGCAACCTGCCTCAACCTGCTGCAACCCTCGTGTCCTTCGGGAAAGCTCTGATCTGTTGCTGTACAAATTGAAGAATGGCATGGCTAGGTTGCTGAAGCATGATGCATCATCAAGGGTGGAAATACGTTGGCAGGCGGATGCTTTTGTGAAGAAGGTCATTGAATACTGGGCCAGCAACGTGTCTGCAAGGAAAGGCACCATACAGCTGATCAAGATTGATCAAGGCTACACAGCTCAAATGTCGCCCCTTGCGCGCTGTGAGACCCGTGAGGCTATGACGATGATTCAGTGGAATTATGCCGGAGAGGATCAGATCTTTGCCAAAAGTTGCGATTGTAAAATGTGTGTCCAACGGAGTCCAACGTCCGCATGGCAATACATTGCAACACGCAGCACTCATTGCTTGTTGACTCATTGGTGAGACTGAGGAAAGCTGCCCCTGGAAAAATGTGGGCAAACCAAATCCAAAGCCTTGGAGCACCTTGGAACAAAACTCCGCCTGTGACTTTGCAACAACTTCGCAATATTTCTGAATGCTATTCTGCCATAATCACAGTTTTTGCCACAAAAACAATGGCGCAAGCATGGTCTCAGGCAACAAGGCCTGCAACGATGGACAAGTGAGAAGAAGAAGTATTCTTTCTACTCAAGAATGTGGTGACCTTACAGGTAGCTTGGATTTGGACCACCTGGGAGAAGACCTACAATTTCTACACTTTCTATATCTTTCTATTAGATTAAGCATATCTAAGAATCTACTAGCATCATCTAGCATCTATAGTATCGACTATCGACTTCTTTGATGTGATGCGGAAATCAAAGCAGCATGAAGCAGCTGAGGTGACTATGCCGCCCATGCATTCTATGCACGACGACGAGCAATTGACCGCGTGGTTCCGCATCCTTTTGTTTTGGCAGAGCCTTGATCCAAGATTGAATCCTTTTGGACACCTTCCGTTCCGAATCGTTGAGTAACTTTGTGGGACTTTGGTGTCTTACTTTTTGTCTTTGAACGCCTTTAGGCTATGCTGCCAGAAGACTCTTCTGAGCCTTTTCCAGTATCCTTGCTTTCAGGGGAATGAATTTGACACTTGAGGTTCCTCTCCCATTTTACACAACGATTAGCGCCGACCAGACTGCAGAGCAGAAATGTGTGTGCTCTCCTTAGTATTTCGCTACGGCACCCGAGACCCATAGTGCATACAGATGGATTGTGGCTTATGGTGTCCGGTGGTTCGAGTTCGAATTGTTCACTTTGCTTGTAGTCAACACCACTTCGCTATAATCAGTTGAGGGAGCAGGATACGCATTTGAACTCTTCCGAAATGCTTCCACTGACCATTCTGTCAGCACCTGTACTTACAGGGTAGAGTTTTAAACAACACACTGATTGGTTTCATCAATTGTGCGCAGTTTTGCATGTGCATTTTGTTGATCGTGGCTTGGTGACACGCCAGTCAAGAAAATCACCTCCAATAGAGACGGTCCTTGTGTTTCATTTAATCTAAATCTCCGTTCCCCATTGAGCCACAGCCAAACAAGTAATTCTTGAGTTTGAAAGGTGAACGTTAGGTGGGTACCGCCAGGCAAAGAAAAACCACTAGTTACCAGAAGTCCCAGTCACTATACTTGAAGTATGTGCCTGATACTGGTTACGTTTTCCAACTTGAAAATTCCTGAACCGCTCATTGGCGAAGCAGTCAAACAACTTGCAAAGTGCAAACCAGTCACCAAAGAAGACCAAAGAAGATCAAAGAAGACCAAAGAAGACCAAAGACTCGTTTGATTTTACTCGCGTCTCGCGTCACTCGTCCATTTTGGTTTCTCAATCCTCAGGCCAAGTCTCATCAATAGAAGACGATCTTGGGGCTCCTGTTCCTGTCGCCGCCGGAGCGGAGCACAGAACTTGCCTGCGAAGGGCTGGTCGTGCAACGGCAAGAGGACACGGCATGATTGCAACATGATTCTTGTTTCTTTTCTTGCTCATGTTTTGCAGATTCTTCTGATTGTTATGGAAAGCAACGCATTCAATATACACACGCACACATGAACAAGTTTTATGCCAGCCTGGCTCAGTCGACATTCGCTAGGATTCTTGAAGTCACTTTGAGCAGGTCCTGTTGTCTTATTTATACTTCTTTATACTTATGCGACTATATAGCGTCATAGTCATAGTCATCTAATTTTCCAAACATTTTGTGTTTGGCCATGGATGCACTCTCAAAAGAAGATATAGGATTAAATCAGAGCAAGTATGCTAAGTATGCATAAATCAACAACACCCAGCATAGCACACGAAGCAATGACTTGTACTACCACTTGTACTACCTACAGTACTACGGTAGTGTACTGATGATGTACTCATTCCAATTAGCTTGAAGGTTCACCTCGTCTCAAGCTTCGCAGGATTGAGTTCACGGGAGAAAATCTTGGGAATGTTTCTTGGGGCAAAAATCAGGATTGTAGTTGCAAGGATCTGTGTAGTGCCGCACAGGTGGATAGGTTCTCGCCTGGCAATGGATGATCTTGAGACTGAGGAACAATTATTTCTGTTTCCGATTCGATTCCCGAATCTTTTCTCAGTGTAACTCGGCATGTACTGGCTTGGACTGACAGCTGTTGCCTTCAACAAGGAAGCATCACCCTTTTTGATAGGTTTCAATATGTCTAAACCAAAGCATTGATATTCTGCACTGCAATGCAATGAAATAGCCAAGAGTGCTCCTGTTTCGAGGGTTGGTGACGATGCAGCTGGCGCGTGCGAAGTGCAAGAGAACGGGATCTGTGTCAAGCGCAACCTCCAGGCATCTCTGGCCGCGGGCAAAGAATCAGCACATGATTGAGAAGTTATTTAAAGGCTTACGCCTGACAGCCGGGCGCCGGCCAAGCAACGATGTTTGGCGTATGGCGTGGGAAGATTGGGCCGAGATTCTCCGCGCAAACCCAGGGAGGGCTATGTTAAGAACTGAGGCAGGCATAATGCGCAGTGCTTGCCTGTATGGAAGCAGTCTGGGCCTATGTTGAACGCAGGTTGTGCCCATGTTGGGCCAAGTCGGGCCCATGTTGAGCCATCTTGGGCCCATCTTGGGCTTATGTTGGGCCAAGTCGGGCCCATGTTGAGCCATGTTGGGCCCATCTTGGGCCTATATTGGCCCAGGTTGGGCCTATGTTGGGCTATGTTGGGGGGCCCATGTCGGGCCTATGTGGCCCAAGTTGAGCCCCCTCGGGAGCTATGTTGGGGCCATGTTTGGGTGAAACGATCCTAAGATGCCATTTTTCCCGCCCCGGGCCTCCTCCTGGAGCCCAAAACAACGTAAAGACCGACGTTTTTTAACATCGCCAAGATGAAATCCCTTGCTGCCGAAGGGCCCGAAACACCGAAAAAAATGATGTTTTTGAACACCGCAAGCAAAATACACTGTAAATTACAGGGACTTCAGTCGGGGTGAACACAGGGTGGGTCGGCGGCAGGGTTGGCAGCCCCTATAACTTTCGGTTACCACTGAAGGCCTCCGGCAAGGACACGGGCTCCGTGGCCGGCGCCCGGATTTAAAGGCTTACGCCTGACAGCCGGGCGCCGGCAGAGAAATGGCCGGACGCGCTCCCTAGTCGTGCGCCGCAGCGGCTTTGAAGTTGATGCGTGCAAAACGCAGAAAGTATGTGAGGATTTCCCAGGACAAGGCTGGACAGTGTGCAATCATGAGTTCCGAGTGGCACCAGATGTATGTCTCTTTCAACCTCCATGCTTGAGTAGAACCAGCATGCCGCACGTTCTTTTCACATCGCCCTTGGGGCCATGTCGGGCCAGGTAGGGCCAGCTCCAAATTCCCGCTCTCAAGCCTCGGGAAGCTGCAAGAAGCCAGCTCCGAATGCAGCAGCCTGGCCTCCAAAACTGTGGGCTCGCCAGTTCCAAACGCCATGAGAGTGAAGGCCGGACGGGGTCTTTGGGCACGCGGCTGCTGTGCCTAACGTTGCTTTCTGAACCGACTAGAAACTAGCTCCAAATTCCCGCTCTCAAGCGTCCGGAAGCTGTAGGAAACTAGCTCCGGATGCAGCAGCCTGGCCTCCAAAACCGTGGGCTCGCCAACCATGAGAGTGAAGGCCGGACGGGGTCTTTGGAGCTGCGGCTGCCTGTGCCTAACGTTGCTTTCTGAACCGACAAGAAGCTAGCTCCAAATTCCTGCTCTCAAGCCTCCAGGAGCTGTAGAAACTAGCTCCGAATGCAGCCGGGCCTCCAAAACCGTGGCCAGCCACCAAACACCATGAAAGTGAAGGCCGGACGGGGTCTTTGGGCCCACGGCTGCCTGTGCCTAAGGGGCCTTTGGGCCCGTGGCTGCCTGTGCCTAACGTTGCAGACACCATGATGGTGAAACCTTCTTCCCCCTTGCTGCTGGTAATTAAAAGCTCGCCAGTCCCAAACAAGATGAGAGTGAAGGCCGGACGGAGTCTTTGGGCCCGCAACGTTGCTTTCTGAACAGACTAGAAGCTAGCGTCCAAAACTGTGGGCCCGCCAGTCCCAGACACCGTGATGGTGATGAATGCTTCTTTCCCCCTCGCTGCTTGTAATTTTTCCTCTGACACGCTCCCCCTGCTGCACCCCTTGCTGCAAGCGGGGTCGGCGGATTTATGAACGGCTTCTTGTGTGTTCTGTTGTGTTCCTGTATATCCTTTCTAGCGTAGGTCAAATCAATGCACTCGCTGTTCTTCTTTGGCTTCCCGCTGACGAACCTCAAGCTTAGCCTGGGATCACTACTGTCGATAAAGCATTGCTGGCTTTCCTGGGCATGTGAAAGAACCTTCAGCATGTCAACAGCGTTTTCCGCGCCCGCGGCTAAAAATTATTTCCCTCTGACTACTGAACGAGCTTCCAGAGAGTGTGTGTGTGTGACACTGGCCATGCTTTTGAGCCGAGGAATGTAAACCCTGCATGGACGGGCCTCACTGCTGACAAAGGGCGCAATGAGGACACTTTGATTTTGCATGAAAAAATCAGCAGGAACTAAGATTGCATTCTGTCGAGGATCGTAGATTTGATTCGTACAATTCTATCTGTGCTTATCTCTGCATTGACATCTCACAGGCTTCGGACTACATCATGGAGTGGATTTTTAACACGTACAACGACTTGTTGGTGAATGAGGACCAAAATGCCAAAGGCCGGGCATCCACAATGGCACAATGGTTTTCCTTCCAGTGCTTGCCATTTTTGTGTTGCCATTTTTGCGTTGTTGGGTCTGATGTGTTGCCGCCTTTTCCTAGTAGTTTACTTTTTTTTTTTAAGACCCTACGATCCCCATGTCTTGCTACGTGAGGTTTCAAGAGTCTTTGCTGCAGACCTCAGATCAGCAGATAGCAGTGCAAACGGGAGATTACCAGAGATGACCACTGTAAAAAATCTGGTTGCCTTGCAGCGACAGCAGCAGAAGTCTTGGCTCTGCCGCTCTAGAGTAAACCCGTGAATTTTATGTTGAGTGAATATGACAAAATACATTAATTAAAAGGTCCTTTGCTGTTTCTTTTTGCCTGTTTCTTTTGGGCGGGTTGATAAAACGCTTTGAACAACTTGAAGTATAGCAATGTTGCGATCAAGAGGCCTCTGGTGAGCCAAGTCAAGCCTAACTTGAACGCTCGTTGGCCTAAGTAACTCCATTTGTATCTATGTTGAGCCTACGTTGCGCTTATGTTAGGCCCATGTTGGCCCATGTTGGCCCATGTTGAGCCTGTGTGGTGTTATAGCAACTTTGGGCCTATGTTAGACCTATGCTGGCAGCTTAGCCGATTTTATGCAGCTTAGCGGCTTAGCGATTTTATGAGCCTTTGAAAAAACGTTGAAAAGCGTGCAATTCTAGAGGAAACGCTCAAGTCCCCCAAGGCCAAAACTTAATAGCGATTGCAATTGCTTCCGGATCATGCCCACACACAAGAAACGCATCGGCACCTTCGGCACAGGCGGATCTTTAGAACAAAAAGGCACTTAGCTAACGTTGGCAAAACATCTTGGTTTAAACTTTAAACTCTGTCTCTTGTGGAGAGACCCAGATGCTTCGGACCTATCTGATGCTTCTTTGGCAAGGCAAAGAAAAACGCTGCATGTTTGTGTGAATTTCAGCATGGAAAATGGCTTAAAAGTGACCAATAAAACGGCTCAGACACGAGTTGTGCGTTCCTAAAAAATCCTTTGTACCCAACATGGCCCTACATGGCGAAACGAAAATTCAAGGCAAGCCCGGCAAGCGCCAAAAAGGTTCAACATCCAAAATTGGCACGACTAGCGCAAAATTAGTTTGAGAGAACCCACAAATCGACCCAACAAAGGCTCAATGCAGGGATCCCGCAAATGCAAAACCTTTTTAGTGGCGCCAACAAAAAACAACACAATGGGTTTGGCATAGGTTGCATGGGCAATCTAACGAGCACGAAAAAATGATGTGCTGTTGCTCTCTTCGCGTTGAACGGTTCAAAGTAGGGCCATGTTGCGATCAAAGCCCATATGCTCAGCCAAAGCTGAGCCCTGTTTCGGCTGCGTTTGGCCTATATGCCACTTCTACGTTTTAGGTCCACGTTTGGCCTATGCGGACAATGTTGTAGCAATGTTGTGCCGACGTTAGACGTATGTTAGGCAGAAATTTGGCAGCTTAGTTGGGTTTAAGACTTTTTCAAAACCTGGCAAGACTCAATAATGCTCGCAATCGCTTCCGGTCCATGCACCCAAAAGTCCTTGGTTCCGTTGCAGGCGGACTAGTGGTGTCGAGGTTAACGGATTTAAGCAGTGTCCATGGATACATCATTTTTCCATATTTTTGCTTTGGCGTGCGTGCCGGGCATGTCACGTGAGTATTGCCACACATGTAAGTACTGTAAGGATGTCCTTTGACGCGAATAGTATGCAAAACGGAAGCCCACTCCTGAAGCAGTTCCTTGCTTGCACGAAGAGTTCACTTTTTTCAATGTGTTAGCTTTGCGTTTGCTAACTCATGCTAACTCCATCCACTTGCAAGAGTTGAGACGAGCTGAGGTACATTGCTTACAACATCCCACGAGACGCAGTGTGGATCACGGCGTCCATCTTGTTCATGCTGACCTACATATCCTTCACCACTAAATCGATTTTCCTCGGTGTATGTGTGATGGACTCGGACTTTAGGTCGAAACACTCCTTAGGCAGCGTCTGAAGATGTATTGAGAGCTGGTTTTACCAATGAGCCAAGAAACACCAAGCACATTCTGCTGAGCTCTTCTGTCTCCACTTGTCAACCTGCACTGAGATAATTGCAATGATCGTGTTTTCCTTCGGCCCAGCAATCTTGCCGCTGATCTGATTTTCAAGGAATTTTGCCCACGGGGGTGCCCTTAGTTGTGGAATCCGATGACTCGGTGACCGTGCCATCAAGGCTCTACACCCTTGTCTTCCAGCAAAGATATATGGGCTTCTCGGCAACGGATCGAATGGAAGATGATTCGAGTTTCCACCAAAGGCCTTACCATCTCATTTATCAAGAGTTTCTTTGTTTGATGATTGGATTCTTTTTTGCCTGACAGGCTTGCTTCACTTGAACGGTCTGTTCATTATCCTTGGTGTGGGTGTCGACGATGCATTCGTCATTATGGACTTGCGGGTGGAAGAAATTGAAGAAATCGTAGTGTTTGTTAGACTGCAACTGCTCAGACTTGCTGCGCCCATCATATTATAGACACTATGGTGCGTTTCAGCACAGTAATGAAACTTTGGGCTATCAAGATACTCAGATAGTCCATAGATTTGGCAGTGCGTGGACGCACTTCGATTTGAAGTTGGTTACGAACACTGGCAGCGACGGTGTTTCTCTGGCAGGATGCGTATGGCCAGGAAAAAGCCGAAGCTGAAGCGGAAAAACGCCGCACAAATTTCAGCAGCCGTGCTGCAAAAGTTCTCTATTTTCACTTATCAGCACTTTCAGCACCTTTCGGTTCTTGCACTCTGTCTCCTTCAAAGCTACTGGACATATCATGGTGTATTCTTGAATGCAAGGGTGACTGAACTAGATCTACAGACGATATCAGTGATGGGAAGGACATTTTACCAAGGTGCAATTATGTCTCCTGCAGCTCACCATGCCTCCAAAGCCTGCTTGTTGCCTGGCCTGGTTCAGACGGGCATCGGACCGTCACAGTGAAGACATTTTGAGACCAATGACTACGATGACTCGTATCGTTTCGCATCTCTGATGGCAGCATTCATGGCATGGTGTGAAACATATTCCTCTACTTGGCAGAGTTACATGGTCCCCATTGCCGGCAAGGTATTTAGTATATTTCCTGCGGGCTTTTGCAATTGACTTTGCTTGTATTTCTGTGTTTCCCAGTATTTAGTGCCTTCCCACTTGCTTCTTGTTCCTGTTTTCTTGGCTTTTCCCTGAAAGTCTCTTGGATTGCACCGTTGCACATCCAGAAGACTTTGTTTCTCATGCACGCTGGTAACGTTAATTTCATGTGCATTTGCAGCTGAGATGCACTTCATTGACAACTTTTTTCGCCTTCTTCTCGCCGCTTGGTTTCAAGCTTGACTGGGAAGTAAGAGGGTAAAGGTATGATCAGGCCTTTTGCACGAGAGAGGCAGAAGTTAAAGAACGATAATCAGCCTGCAAATAGTGGGTAAGCAGGGCATATTTAATTTTTGTCCGTGTAGGTTCGGTGTTACGTTTGAATGTTTGTAACATGTGCTGTCTTCGACAGCGCAAGCTTGAAACGGAATCCAAATCTGGAAAAACTACAACTTGAAACGTTACATAATGAAACCAGATTTGAGCCAGGATTGCAGCATCCTGCAAGCTATATGCAAGCTATAACGCCTAAGAGCACTGTGTAAGTGTCACAGGAGAAGCCCGCTTAGCCATGTGCACTGAAGGCTTAACCAAAGGCTGGACTTTTCCAATAGCCGGTGTAGTTGTTTGCATTGGCACCAGTGGCACCAGCACCCAACCAGGATTGGAATGATGCATTTTTTAGTAGATGCTGCAAGATGACATCAAACGACTTCAAGTCAATCCAAACCAATGTATAGTTCAATTTCCAATCCCCGCTCTCATGGGTACGAGGTGCATTCCTGTGGTTCTGGCTGTGGTGGGGTGAAGTACATTTGGTTGGAAGTAGCATTTGGTATGTGAGAGGTATGTTGGCAGCATCGATAGGTGGGTGGTAGTATAGATTTCCAGAACGTAAGAGTATCTAGGTAGTTGTTGGTACGCTTTGTGCATGCCACATAGGATGTCCATTGCGAGCAAGTGGCATGTGACATGTGGATAGTGGCTCGCTGGGATGTGGACATGTGGTGTATGCTACTTGCAGTACTTCATACTGTATCTAGAATTTAGACCCATATAGTGGGGTCATGGGGAATCCAGCACAACGGTTACTGGAACCCTTAACAACGAATGATTGCACCAATGGCTCATCCATGTGAGTATGATTGAATAACTGAATATTTCTATTTGTATTGTACAAATTTATATAATACATGTAACATGTATAATTATGAATATATGATATGGCTTCAGGGCGGTTTCGGGCGTTCTCAAAAACGATGTTTTTGAGAGGTGTTGCTTTTCAAGTGTGTGAGACGACAAAGATACAAAAACAGAAGTAGCTACGTAGCAGCTACAAGAGCACAAGTATAAGTGAACTTTCTGCAGCAGATTTGCATGAGGAACTGCAATAACACAGTACAAGTGTGAGAACGACCATGGCAGTACGTCTGCTGAAATTAACTAACTAGAGCAATGACTGTAGTAAAAGCAAAAAACCAAAAAAACATCTTTTGAAACAGAATTGATGGTTTCAGATAGAAAAGTTGTTTTTTGGGTTTTGCCTGAGGATTTTTTTGTTTCCTTGAAAGGGCGTTTGTTTTTTGTTTTGGAAGTCCAAACACCAATAAAGTCATGGAAAAGTTGGTTTTTCATCAAACAATATCATTTCACGTACTGTTTTTTTCTTGTGGCTTGACATGTCTTGAGATCAAAAACATTTTTTTTCCATTTTTTTGGTTTGTCATACTAGCACATTTTGAAAAACCAAAAAAACATAAGTGAAATGATACGTACTTTTTCCATGAGTTTTCTTGTTTTTTTTGACTTCCAAAACCAAAAAACCAAACACCCTCCCGAGGAAACAAAAAAACCGAAAAAAAATGAGGTAAAACCAAAAAACAACTTTTCTACCTGAAACAATATTTTCTGTTTCAACAGATGTTTTTCTTTTTTTTCTCCAAGTTTTTTTTGGTTTTCTCGAGAGGGTGTTTGTTTTTGTTTTTTGTTTTGGAAGTCCCAAAACCAAGAAAACTCATGGAAAAAGTTAGTTTTTATCAAAAACATCATTTCACCGACCTGTTGGTTTTTTTTTACATGTTTTGAGATCAAAAACAATCTTTTTCCTTTTGTTTTTTTTGTTTGTTCATACTAGCACATCTTGAAAAACCAAAAAAGTCTAGGCATACTTTTTGATGAAAATCCAACTTTTTCCATGAGTTTCTTTGCTCAAAAACAAATACCACCCTTCCAGATTTGGAGATGCAGAAATAAACATTGGCAAGATGAGAAGACACAAGTTTTGAAAGCATTTGATTTGAAGAAAAATGTTGTTACAGGAAAGGCTGCTTACAGGTTATAATATTCCTTGAAGACAAGGTATTCCCTCAAATAAGAAACACAATTCTTGCAAGAAAACTATCATGTGTGGAAGGATGCAATACATGCTTTAATGAAGCTCAGCCTTCCTCCCATTTCTCCGGTATGACCATGATTGACCATGGTTTTCTGTTTTTTGATGAAGTAGAGGTAACAGAGTAAGAATCATGCGTTGATCAAAAATATTTAAAATACAATGACTATACTATAGCTTCAATATACCCTTAATATACTGCTTTATTGACTATGAAAGTATCTTCAAGATACCTTTAATTTGCCTTTAAATACAATACAATACACCTTCGATGCTTTATATGCCATCTAATATACCTTTAGTATACCTTGATACAAATACAATTTTATTGGCCATGTTCTTGCCTCTAATATACCCTTAGGATACCTTTAATATACCTTTGATATAATTTTAAAACACCATCTAATACATCTATACTATACCTTCAATATACAATTTAATATACCTTTAGTATATCATTTGATATACCTAGAATCTACCTTTCACATACCATTTACTTGACCTTAAAAAATAACTTTAGTTTGCCTTGACGATACCTTCAATACACCAGTTAATATAAAAGTTCATATACCAGTTAATATACCTTTAGTGTACCATTTAACACAACATGAGAATACCTTGAATATTTTTAAATATACCTTTAACATATTTGTAGCATACTTTTAATATATATATATATATCAATGCTACCCCCCTCCCCAAGACCTACATTTTGTGTATTAGATATGTCCTTGAATGCCTTGTCTTCCTTCTTATCCTCTCACCGATTGTAGCACTGCATCAGGAAAGTATCCTGGGCGCATGCGCCTGGACACATCCTGCCCACATATGTAGCTGCAGCATAGCGCTGTGACATCTACATCTACATTTGACATATTTATTTCATTATATTTATACAATGTGCTCTTTTTTTTTATGTTTTCAGACATTTTTAATATATCAGCACAAATTTTATATCTATGATCTGATTCTTGCAAGTCTGCTTTTTCAATATCTTCTGCAACATCTGGTATTTTTACATAACCTTTAGGATTTGTAGCAATATGATTAGGGGAATAGATGGATTGAAATTGTGTTATCTGTTGTTACAACAGAGTATAGCATATTATCTTTATCTTTTTTGATGAATACCACCTTTTGTAAGGTAGTTTTTTTTTTAAAATGGTTACTGGTGGTGGATTTCATGTTTACTAAAATTACATTTTCTGTAGCAATTTGAAAGGTTTTAGCTTCTGCCAAAGCTGAGCTTTGTGCAAGATTAGATGATATGGTTAGTGCATCTTGAGATTTTACATTTTTATTTACGGAAGATTTTGCAGATAATAAAGGTGTATATAAAAAGTACGATAGATATGTATAAGACTCATCTCCAGTTATATTTTCCTAGACATATAGATTTTATAATGCAATTACCTTTTTAATCCTCCTACAACTTCATACATTCCATCAAACTTTGCCTAGTAAACTGACAACAATCAATCATATTCTCATTTGATGTTAATTGTCTTATTTCTTTCGAAACATACTACATACACCCAAGGGCTCTACTTCATAGTGACTTTTTTTTTGTATTATTGCATGCTTTTCAATTAAACGGTTCACCCCTTTGTGAAGGAAAATTTGCCCATACTTGCACCAACACTCTTTTTTCAATACCATAGTGGTTTAAAATAGATACTCACAGGATTCCATTCTCAAATCATGCTGTCCTCCTTGCATAGATTCCTTTACCTCTTTAAAACTGTAAGTCTCTTTAAAAATAACCTTATATTCCTTGCAAAGAAGTGCTGCAACTCCTTTATATTAGGGGACTGTACAAAATGATGCCACTTTATGCAAGGAATGTAATCTTTGAAAATATTGCTGCGCAAGGCATACGTTGGAGGATTTGGCCCCGAAAAACAGACGCAAAAACGAACGCCCAATACAGACCTTTAACCGATATATATATATATATATTATATATGTATACACACATACATACAGATCTCTTGACAGTGCGGCAGAATCAAGCCTGCCGGAATCGCAATTGCATCGCTGAGGAATGCGACATCAAATTTCCCATCAATAAGAACATTTGGATTATTTTGTGAATCTTGGTGGTGCTATTGGTTTGGACACAGAGAGGGAATGAACTTTACACTGCTGATGTCACTGCATCCACCTCCAAAAGTAACATGAGAGTTGCATGAGAGTAGCATGAGCACGTTTCAATCTGTTTCAAGAAAATGTTTCAATTGCACGTCAGAGCATGACACAGCTTCAATGAAGATGCCGGAGCAGCCAAGGCTTGTTTGATCATCTCGAATTTCCTGATTGATTTCAGTTTTTTTCTAACTATTGCAGGGCCCTCAGAATTTATCCAAAGCAGCATGGCTGAGGGCCGTGGAGTTCTCACAAGTGTCCTTTCAAGACCATCCCTACTTGCGGTTCTTGTTCCGTGATTTATAGTTGGACCGTACGAGTAGCATTGACACTTGCTGAAGCCAGATGAGCAGGGCTTCTGGAGAGTTGGTGACTCATGTGGTCAAGCACAACTGTAGCCATTAATTTTTGGCTGAAACCAGTCTTCACAGGCTCAATTGACCTTGCCATCCTCCACCAAACAACGCAAACTGCGCCCTAGATGCGGCAGTTTTCGACAGTGGTGCTCTTGAAAGTCTTGCTTGCCGGATGTGCTGATGCTAAGGCTGCTGAGGATTGTGTACAAAAGGTCAGGACGGATGGACAGTGGCTACTCCAGCAACACAGCCGCCGCGGCCAATTTCAGAGCGACCTTGGGGTGAATTCCTTGGCCAACCTCACCCCTTCGGAACTGATGCCGTGTCCAGGCGCAACCCTGGTGACATCATGCATGAGCCTGGCAGACTATGATGCAATCGTGTCTGCAGTTCGTGGAGCCTTGGAATCTCTTCCTGCGATTTGCACTGCCTCGAATTGCCCACAGGCCGATTGGGCTGCCTGTGTTCTTCGTATGGCAGGGCATGACTTCATGGACTTTGCTGCTGGACAAGGAGGCTCTGATGCTTGCACGGATATGGCTGACCCAGACAATGGTGGCTTGCCTGCCTGCCTTGCTACCGGTGAACATGGCATTGCTTTGCTTGATATCTACCAGCAGTTCTGTGTGGATGTATCTTTGGCAGATTTCCTGGTGATCGCAGCAGAAGCAGTGATCCTATCAACCAGAGCCAGGCATATAGCGAGCAACCCGACAGCTCCTCCTTTGAATCTACGCTCGAGCTTTCGCTTTGGCCGAGTCACAGCCACATCATGTGATTTTGCCGCAGGTCGATTGCCCAACCCAGAGCGTGGCTGCCAAGCAGTTGAAGATACCTTCGTCAATGCTCTTGGTTTGTCATGGACAGAAGCAGCAGCATTAATGGGAGTCCACACCCTAGGCCGTGCAGATGTCAGCAATTCGGGATACCACGGATGGTGGAGTGATCCAGAGAACTCCAGGCAATTCAACAACAATTATTACGTCTCACTGCTTGCAAAAGGTTGGATTCCGGAATTGGCTGTCGGCGGAAATTCTGGTAAGAACCAATGGGAGCGTAGTGACATTGGCCGCGACACCACCTTTGATGGACACGAAATGATGTTGAACACAGACCTTTGCCTGGCATACAGTGAAAATGGACCAGTCATAGCAACAGAGCACGACTGCTGTGCTTGGTTGACTTCTGATACCATTGCGGATGCAGTAGCAAACAACGGCGGAGAGTACTGTGGTGGCAACCCTGGACGAGGTGAAAGAGGACAGTGCTGTGGAAATCAAAATAATGACTGCGGGAATCGAAACAATCCCAGTGGTCCTGCAGCAGATGCAATTCTCCGTTTCGCAGCTGATGAAGCAGCGTGGCTGGAGAGTTTTACTCGCGCATGGCTCATTGCCACGGAGAATGGCCATGCTGAGCTGCGCCCACTTGGAAGCTGCACCACCGTGGAGACAACAGAAATTTCAAGCACAGAGACATCGACAACGACTGCAACAACGACTACGTCCACGACTACAACCACGACCACATCTGTCACTACGGCTGTCACAACCACTACTGCACCAGCCACAACCGCCACAACCGCCACAAGTGCCACAAGTTCATTTGTGAGTACAACCAGCACGACCACGCCCGTTGCAACAACATCTACAACCACTGAGACTACCACAACTACGCTCGGGACCACTGTGACAAGTACGACAACCACAACTGGTCTCCAGCTGTTGCGTGGTTTCACTCTGGTTGATGGCATTGACAGAGCATGCGAAGGTGATGGTGACACGGCCGTTGTTGCCGCCGCAAATGCCGCAGAGTGCCAGGAGAAGTGCCGCGACATGGACGGTTGCCGCGGAGTCTCATTTGCAGCTGCCCGCTGCGAGCTTTGGGCGGACAGGATTCAGGACAGCCTTGACATGGGAAAGGGGATCTAGGTATGTATCCCACATACCAGTAGTACCGCACAAGGTGGTGGCGGAAGTTTTAAAGATAGGAAACCTATAGGAGAGGGGTGTTGCTGTAATGCATGGATGGCAGAGCGAACTTATGGACCGAAAGGTGGTTGAGGCTCTGAATCTCTCTCTCTCTCTATTTGTCTTATTTGTCTTTATCTAGCTGCCTGTCTATTTGTTTATCTCTCTGGCTATCTATCTTGATCTCTCTATCGCTCTATCGCTCTATCGCTCTATCGCTCTATCGCTCTATCGCTCTATCGCTCTATCTATCTATCTATCTATCTATCTCTCTATCTCTCTATCTGTCTGTCTGTCTATCTGTCTATCTGTCTGTCTGTCTGTCTGTCTATCTGTCTGTCTATCTGTCTATCTGTCTATCTGTCTATCTATCTGTCCATCTGTCTATCTATCTGTCTATCTGTCTATCTCTCTATTTCTCTATCTCTCCATCTCTTTATCTCTGTACCTCTCTATCTCTATCTATCTATCTATCTGTCTATCTCTGTATATATCTCTCTAGCTGTCTATCTGTCTATCTATCTGTTTTTCTATCTATCTATCTATCTAAATATCTATCTATCTATCTATCTATCTGTCTGTCTGTCTATCTATCTATCTATCTATCTCTCTCTCTCTCTCTCGCTCTCTTTTTTTCTCTTTCCCTCTCACACTGTTTATCTAGTTCTCTATCCCTTTATCTATCCCTTGATCTGTCCCTGTCAGTCTTGCCCAGTTTCTGTCTGTTTCTCTCTTTTTCTTTTTCTCTGTCTCTCTATCTATCTCTTTTTTTTTTTCCTCTCTCTCTCTCTCTATCTATCTATCTATCTATCTATCTCTATCTCTATCTCTATCTCTATGTCTATGTCTATGTCTATCTCTATCTCTCTCTCTCTCTCTCTCTGTCTCTCTCTCTCTCTCTCTCTCTCCATCTCTATCTCTTTCGCTTTCTCAACTTCCAAAAGTGTTCCGAGACGCTAAGTTTTTGGCACTTTTCACTTCGAAATGTGCTTCTTGCCACCACGGCGTCCACTTTTTCGACATCTCAACGTCCAAAAGTGGTCTGAGACCGTCAGTTTTTAATACTTGTGACTTGCGAATGTGCTTTGTGCCACCACGGCCTGCACTTTTTCAGCCTCACAACTTCCAAAAAGTGGTCCGAGACCGTCTGTTTTAATATTTTGACTTGGAATCGTGCTTCGCGCCACGGTCGCGTGCACTTTTTCGACATCTCAACTTCCAAAAGTGCTCCGAAACGGAAGTGTTTCTAACATTTTGACTTGAAAATGTGCTTCGTGCCACAGCGGCGTACAACTTTTCATCTCACATACAGCCGGATAACTCCGCACCCGCCACCTTAGCGAGCCTACTTTCCCACCCTCCTGGGCCACAAATCATTGGAAACACACAGTGGTTCGCGACTTTCTACCTTCGCGCACCTGCATCTTCTTTCTTCTGACTCGTTCTCTTCTCTGATCTTCTTTCTTCTTCCTTTCTCCTCTCTTTCTCTTCCCACCTCTGCTTTTCTATCTGTCCATATTGTCGGAAGTCTGACGTCTAAACTTCCTTCGACAAGCACACACATACATACATATCATACATACATATATATATATATACACATCTGAGTGATGCAAAAAGCACGTAACAATCGAACATATTTAAAACTAATTTGTTTCAAGACTCTCTGGTTATGCAGCATTTTTCGCTGCTGTGTTATGGCTGTCGTAACTGAAGTAGATTTATTTTATGTTTCGATATGTTCAGGGCACGTTGCCCAGGGTCTCTGGAGATCAAATATATATATATAGATACTTTTTCTTTTGCCAGTTTTTGCATACAACGTCGCCCTGCTTGAGAACTGCAGTCGCAATTCGAGCACTGGCTGAGAACCGAAACCTAAAAATGAATTGACCTGACATCCGTTGTTCGCTAGAAAAATACGGAAGGACTTGCCATGCAGTACGTCATGCGAGGGTGAATCCCCACGTTGACGCGTGCGCATGTTTCTGCCAGGAGACTGTGCCGCAAGCTGGTTCACTTTGCTTGCGTTTCCGTCGTCGCAGAGGCAAAGGTGGCAGAGATTCATAGCGAGACAAATCCGTCGGTTTGAGCCGCTTTGACCTGTGAAGATTTCCACGATTTTGCAATGGAACCTGGATGTGTTGGATATTGTAAAGGCACTCGCACCTGACGGAGAGACAACCTAGTAAGGTTCATGCTAAATTACTACGGATAAATTTCCAATGTTGCAGTACCACGCAAACATACAACTGCCAGCATTGGTAAATAGATGCTGAACATCTCAATTTAACTTGAATCTCTCAGTCTTGACATTTGGCCTTTCTGGTGCGACCAGAGCCATCTTGCCACTGTGCAAATGCAGTGCAAACAGCCTGCATGTCCATGTTCGAAAGTAGGATCGAATTCGTGGCTAATGAGCGGCCATTTGTGTTTGAATTTCTTTAATCTGACCGCTCGTAACCTTTTCTGTGCTATGTCTAGACTTGTGGGCATGCCACCTGCATTACTTGCACCCTTGGATTGTACAACGCATCCCGTGAAGTATGGCGGCTGCCCGGGCCTGAAGATCCTTTGAGAGATTTCGATAAAAAATGCGTCAAACTTCGGGCAGCTAGGGTAGGGTTTCAAGATGGATTTTTGGGCAGCCAGATGAGCAGGGCTTCTGGAGAGTTGGTGACTCATGTGGTCAAGCACAACTATAGCCATTTTTGGCTGAAACCAGTCTTCACAAGCTCAATTGACCTTGCCATCCTCCACCAAACAACGCAAATTGCGCCCTAGATGCGGCAGTTTTCGACAGTGGTGCTCTTGAAAGTCTTGCTTGCCGGATGTGCTGATGCTAAGGCTGCTGAGGATTGTGTACAAAAGGTCAGGACGGATGGACAGTGGCTACTCCAGCAACACAGCCGCCGCGGCCAATTTCAGAGCGACCTTGGGGTGAATTCCTTGGCCAACCTCACCCCTTCGGAACTGATGCCATGTCCAGGCGCAACCCTGGTGACATCATGCATGAGCCTGGCAGACTATGATGCAATCGTGTCTGCAGTTCGTGGAGCCTTGGAATCTCTTCCTGCGATTTGCACTGCCTCGAATTGCCCACAGGCCGATTGGGCTGCCTGTGTTCTTCGTATGGCAGGGCATGACTTCATGGACTTTGCTGCTGGACAAGGAGGCTCTGATGCTTGCACGGATATGGCTGACCCAGACAATGGTGGCTTGCCTGCCTGCCTTGCTACCGGTGAACATGGCATTGCTTTGCTTGATATCTACCAGCAGTTCTGTGTGGATGTATCTTTGGCAGATTTCCTGGTGATCGCAGCAGAAGCAGTGATCCTATCAACCAGAGCCAGGCATATAGCGAGCAACCCGACAGCTCCTCCTTTGAATCTACGCTCGAGCTTTCGCTTTGGCCGAGTCACAGCCACATCATGTGATTTTGCCGCAGGTCGATTGCCCAACCCAGAGCGTGGCTGCCAAGCAGTTGAAGATACCTTCGTCAATGCTCTTGGTTTGTCATGGACAGAAGCAGCAGCATTGATGGGAGTCCACACCCTAGGCCGTGCAGATGTCAGCAATTCGGGATACCACGGATGGTGGAGTGATCCAGAGAACTCCAGGCAATTCAACAACAATTATTACGTCTCACTGCTTGCAAAAGGTTGGATTCCGGAATTGGCTGTCGGCGGAAATTCTGGTAAGAACCAATGGGAGCGTAGTGACATTGGCCGCGACACCACCTTTGATGGACACGAAATGATGTTGAACACAGACCTTTGCCTGGCATACAGTGAAAATGGACCAGTCATAGCAACAGAGCACGACTGCTGTGCTTGGTTGACTTCTGATACCATTGCGGATGCAGTAGCAAACAACGGCGGAGAGTACTGTGGTGGCAACCCTGGACGAGGTGAAAGAGGACAGTGCTGTGGAAATCAAAATAATGACTGCGGGAATCGAAACAATCCCAGTGGTCCTGCAGCAGATGCAATTCTCCGTTTCGCAGCTGATGAAGCAGCGTGGCTGGAGAGTTTTACTCGCGCATGGCTCATTGCCACGGAGAATGGCCATGCTGAGCTGCGCCCACTTGGAAGCTGCACCACCGTGGAGACAACAGAAATTTCAAGCACAGAGACATCGACAACGACTGCAACAACGACTACGTTCACGACTACAACCACGACCACATCTGTCACTACGGCTGTCACAACCACTACTGCACCAGCCACAACCGCCACAACCGCCACAAGTGCCACAAGTTCATTTGTGAGTACAACCAGCACGACCACGCCCGTTGCAACAACATCTACAACCACTGAGACTACCACAACTACGCTCGGGACCACTGTGACAAGTACGACAACCACAACTGGTCTCCAGCTGTTGCGTGGTTTCACTCTGGTTGATGGCATTGACAGAGCATGCGAAGGTGATGGTGACACGGCCGTTGTTGCCGCCGCAAATGCCGCAGAGTGCCAGGAGAAGTGCCGCGACATGGACGGTTGCCGCGGAGTCTCATTTGCAGCTGCCCGCTGCGAGCTTTGGGCGGACAGGATTCAGGACAGCCTTGACATGGGAAAGGGGATCTAGGTATGTATCCCACATACCAGTAGTACCGCACAAGGTGGTGGCGGAAGTTTTAAAGATAGGAAACCTATAGGAGAGGGGTGTTGCTGTAATGCATGGATGGCAGAGCGAACTTATGGACTGAAAGGTGGTTGAGGCTCTGAATCTCTCTCTCTCTCCCTCCCTCCCTCCCTCTCTCTCTCTCTCACTCTCTCTCTCTCTCTCCCTCCCCATCTCTCTCTATTTGTCTTATTTGTCTTTATCTAGCTGCCTGTCTATCTGTTTATCTCTCTGGCTATCTATCTTGATCTATCTTGATCTATCTTGATCTATCTTGATCTCTCTATCTTGATCTATCTTGATCTATCTTGATCTATCTTGATCTATCTTGATCTATCTTGATCTCTCTATCGCTCTATCGCTCTTTCTATCTATCTATCTATCTGTCTGTCTATCTATCTATCTATCTATCTCTCTCTCTCTCTATCTATCTGTCTGTCTGTCCGTCTGTCCGTCCGTCCGTCCGCCGGTCTGTCTGTCTGTCTATCTGTCTATCTGTCTATCTGTCTGTCTGTCTATCTGTCTATCTGTCTATCTACCTGTCCATCTGTCTATCTATCTGTCTATCTGTCTATCTCTCTATTTCTCTATCTCTCCATCTCTTTATCTCTGTACCTCTCTATCTCTATACCCCTCTACCTGTCTATCTCTGTATCTCTCTAGCTGTCTATCTGTCTATCTATCTGTTTTTCTATCTATCTATCTATCTATCTGTCTATCTATCTATCTGTCTATCTATCTATCTATCTATCTCTCTATCTCTCTCGCTCTCTTTTTTTCTCTTTCTCTCTCACACTGTTTATCTAGTTCTGTATCCCTTTATCTATCCCTTTATCTGTCCCTGTCAATCTTGCCCAGTTTCTGTCTGTTTCTCTCTTTTTCTTTTTCTCTGTCTCTCTATCTATCTCTTTTTTTTTTCTCTCTCTCTCTCTCTATCTATCTATCTATCGATCTATCTATCTATCTATCTTATCTTATCTAATCTAATCTAATCTGATCTAATCTAATCTAATCTAATCTAATCTATCTATCTATCTATCTCTATCTCTATCTCTATCTCTATGTCTATGTCTATGTCTATGTCTATGTCTATGTCTATGTCTATGTCTATGTCTATGTCTATGTCTATGTCTATGTCTATCTCTCTCTCTCTCTCTCCATCTCTATCTCTTTCGCTTTCTCAACTTCCAAAAGTGTTCCGAGACGCTAAGTTTTTGGCACTTTTCACTTCGAAATGTGCTTCTTGCCACCACGGCGTCCACTTTTTCGACATCTCAACGTCCAAAAGTGGTCTGAGACCGTCAGTTTTTAATACTTGTGACTTGCGAATGTGCTTTGCGCCACCACGGCGTGCACTTTTTCAGCCTCACAACTCCCAAAAAGTGGTCCGAGAACGTCTGTTTTAAGATTTTGACTTGGAATCGTGCTTCGCGCCACGGTCGCGTGCACTTTTTCGACATCTCAACTTCCAAAAGTGCTCCGAACCGGAGGTGTTTCTAACATTTTGACTTGAAAATGTGCTTCGTGCCACAGCGGCGTACAACTTTTCATCTCACATACAGCCGGATAACTCCGCACCTGCCACCTTAGCGAGCCTACTTTTCGACCCTCCTGGGCCACAAATCATTGGAAACACACAGTGGTTCGCGACTTTCTACCTTCGCGCACCTGCATCTTCTTTCTTCTGATTCGTTCTCTTCTCTGATCTTCTTTCTTCTTCCTTTCTCCTCCCTTTCTCTTCCCACCTCTGCTTTTCTATCTGTCCATATTGTCGGAAGTCTGACGTCTAAACTTCCTTCGACAAGCACGCACATACATATCATACATACATACATCTGAGCAAATTACAGCGACGTCACACGACCTCACTTGAAATTTGACCTAGATACCGAATTAAGCTCGTGATGTGCAAGTGAACTATGAGGGTGCTGATTCGATGTTTTTCCACTGTCAATGTTCTTCTCCTGTGCCTGCATCCTTTTTTCTTCCCTTGAGATGTAAAAAAAATCCTACCCCAGTGCTGTAGGCTGCTTTTCCTTCTAGCCCTCCCCCACCCCATCCGGAGACGTAAAAATTCCTACCGCAGTGCCGTAGGCTGGCTTCCCTCCTAGCCTTCCCGAACCCCATCCGGAGACGTAAAGATTCTTACCGCAATGCCGTAGGCTGGCTTCCCCCGAGCCCTCCCCCACCCCATCCGGAGATGGAAAGATTCCTACCGCAGTAACGTAGGCTGCCTCCTGGCCGTCCCACACCCCATCCGGAACCCAAAATATACAAAAATTTTACCGCAGTGCCGTAGGCTGGCTTCCCTCCTAGCCTTCCCGCACCCCATCCGGAGACGTAAAGATTCCTACCGCAGTGCCGTAGGCTGGCTTCCCTCCTAGCCCTCCCGCACCACATCCACAGACGTCAAGATTCCTACCGCAGTGCCGTAGGCTGGCTTCCCTCCTAGCCCTCCCGCACCCCATCCGGAGACGTAAAGATTCCTACCGCAGTGCCGTAGGCTGGCTTCCCTCCTAGCCATCCCGCACCCCATCCGGAGACGTAAAGATTCCTACCGCAATGCCGTAGGCTTGGCTTCCCTCCTTCCCCCACCCCATCCGGAGATGGAAAGATTCCTACCGCAGTGCCGTAGGCTGCCTCCTGGCCGTCCCACACCCCATCCGGAACCCGGAGACGTACAAAAATATACAAAAATCCTACCGCAGTGCCGTAGGCTGGCTTCCCTCCTAGCCTTCCCGCACCCCATCCGGAGACGTAAAGATTCCTACCGCACTCCCGAGCCTTCCCGCACCACATCTGGAGACGTCAAGATTCCTACCGCAGTGCCGTAGGCTGGCTTCCCTCCTAGCCCTCCCGCACCCCATCCGGAGACGTAAAGATTCCTACCGCAGTGCCATAGGCAGGCTTCCCTCCTACCCCTCCCGCACCCCATCCGGAGACGTAAAGATTCCTATTGTAGTGCCGTAGGCTGGCTTCCCTCCTTCCCCCACCCCATCCGGAGATGGAAAGATTCCTACCGCAGTGCCGTAGGCTGGCTTCCCTCCGAGCCCTCCCCCACCCCATCCGGAGATCGAAAGATTCCTACCGCTGGCTGAGAACCGAAACTTAAAAATGAATTGACCTGACATCCGTTGTTCGCTAGAAAAATACGGAAGGACTTGCCATGCAGTACGTCATGCGAGGGTGAATCCCCACGTTGACGCGTGCGCATGTTTCTGCCAGGAGACTGTGCCGCAAGCTGGTTCACTTTGCTTGCGTTTCCGTCGTCGCAGAGGCAAAGGTGGCAGAGATTCATAGCGAGACAAATCCGTCGGTTTGAGCCGCTTTGACCTGTGAAGATTTCCACGATTTTGCAATGGAACCTGGATGTGTTGGATATTGTAAAGGCACGTCGCCTTGCACCTGACGGAGAGACAACCTAGTAAGGTTCATGCTAAATTATTACGGATAAATTT